GCGGCCCCAACGCCCACAGCCGGCCCTGGCGCCTCAGGGCCCCCGAGCGGCGGGCTTCACGAGGCCGCGTGGGCCTGGCTGGCCGGCTCTGCTGAAGCGTCCCGGGACTCACCACGACGCTGGGACTGCGGGTCGCCATGACGGAATCGGTCGGCGCGCCCGAGCAAAAGCGGTCTGAAGAGGAAGCCGGCGGAGGAGGCGCAATGGCACGAGAAAGCCGTGAGGTAAGCCCAACGCTCTTCCCCGCCGCCGCGGCAACCGCTCAGGGACGCCGCCGCCGAGGCTCCGCCCCCTTCGGCCCGCCCAGGCTCCGCCCCCAGCGGCGCTGCTAGGCATTCTCCCGCGCTCCTCCACACGCAGCTACTGGTGGCTGTTTTGACCAGGTGGCCGTGGGAATTTTCTTCTGGAAAATTCCGAGACTGGTCATACCACAGCCTCCAGCCTGCTTCCAGTAGCCCAGAAGATTCCCAAATAATCAAACATACCTCAGTCCGCATGTTTCCGTCCTTATGACTCTTAAACTGATGGACCCCACTTCAGGTTCCGTTCACCACGTGGTTCCCCGAGCCAGGCGTCCCCTTCCCAAGACCTACATGGTGACTGGCTTCCATTTTCCTGATTTAGGACCAGTTCTTTTAAAAACTTATTAGTTTTAAGAACTGAGACCTACAACCCTAGAAGAGCCAGATCAGGGTACAAATCCAAGAGGAAAAACTGCTTTGTAACCTTGTAAAATGGACCCGAAACTGCTTTTGCCTTTACGTAAAATGAGCATTTTAAGCTGGGTATGATAACAAAGGGTTGTATATATACCCAGCTACCAAGGAGGATCGCATATCTCACCTACCTGGGCAATTTAGTAAGAAAATGTTTCAAAATAAAATTTGATAAGGTAGAATAGGGATTGAAAAAGAAAACTTGTCCTTAAACTCTGGCCTCCATACCTGCCCGCACGTAAAAGGAAAGCATTGCTGAGAGAGGTTTTTGTTACCAAATAGAGTGTTGTCATTACTTACGTGGCCAATTTTAGTCAGGTGTGGTGACACATGCTTGGAATTCCAGCACTATGGAGGCAGAGGTAGGAGAATTGCAATTGTGAATTCCTGACCCGCCTGGCCTACGAGACCCTGACTAAACAACAACTAGCTAATGATTGGGGAAAATAAGCAAGCCAGGGCTATAGCACAGCCTCAGTATATGGGAGGCTCCAGGCTCAATCTTCTATACCGCAATAAAAAATGAATGAACAAAGAATAAGTGAAATGAGCATGTTAATAGTACATAATCAGAATCTTTGTGGGAATTAAAGGATTACATTTGCCTTTGTGTGGGAATATGTGTAATACACAGTGTATGGAAACTGTGGCTGTTATGTTTATTTTTGTCTCCATAGTTTCCTACGTGGAATGTGTTTTCTATTTTGTTTATTAGATAGTTTGTCTTGAGACAGGCCATCCTATAACCCAGGCTACCTACAGACTTACTGTGTTGCTGAGTATGGCCTAGAACCCCTCTTCTTGTCTCCATCTCCCGTACCGGGATTACAGACAGCTGACTTTCCAGTGTGGAACCAGAAAACAACATCTGCTGCTATTTACCTTCGAATGCAGCCAGCAGTTGCTTCCCCTAACACTACTCCTGACGGCCCCATTTTTACATCCAGCGCCCATCACCCTGCCCTCCATCATAGTCAGTGGCCTCCCTGTTAGTAAAGATATTCATACGAGAGACGCGATGGCAGAGTTTTGAAATTGGGCAAGTCATTGTACTTCTCAGAACCTAAGTCTGTTTCTTCTAAGAAGATGGTTTAGTGGGTATAGAGTTAGCTGTGCAAGCACAAGGGGCACGAACACCCATGGAAAAGCCTGGCATGGTGTTTGTCTATAAGCCCAGCCCTGGTGGGACAAAGGCAGGCGAGCCTACACGCTCGCTGGCCAGCCAATATAGCTGAAATGGCAAACTTTCGATTCAGTGAATTGTTCTTAAAAATAAGGAGGGGGGAGTAATAGGAAGATGCCAGATATCAGCCTCTGGCCTCGACTCATGCATGCACACATCCATGGGAAGGTCACCTCCCCCATGCACATACAGTACATACACACAAATGAACATTTAAGATTTTTAAAATGTAAATAACCTGGGCATGCTGACTTGGGCCTATAGTCTCAGCTACTTGGAAGTGGATATAGGAAGATCAGCCCCGGTGAGAGCGCATCTCAAAGCTAAATGATATAGCAGTGAAATTAAAACTAGGAATAATAATTTTGGCTCTGAAAGAGTAATATGAAAGTTGTAAAAATTATTTAATAAAGTACTTGCCATAGGATTTCCCACATATTAGGTGCTCAAGAAACACTAGCTGGTAGAATTTCAGTGTGTGTAGATGTGTGAACTCCACACATTCCTCCCAAGTTTCCCTGCCTTCCCTGTCTATCATAGTGAGTTGGGAGGCTATGACAGAAAAGACCCATTGGGATTTGGTCTGAGGAAAATCTATGTCGAAGCACTTCATTCATTTCTAATTATCACTGTGACTTTGGGCAATATTTTTTATAACCGTGTGCCTCAGTTTCTTCATAGTCAAATGAGTCTCTGTCACAGGATGTGGTAAAGAGTAAACAAAACAAACTGAGCCCAGCGGTACATGTCTGTAATGTCAACATTTAGGAGGTAGAGGCAGGAGGATCAGAAGTTGCGGAACAATGTGAGCGATATGAAACCCTGTCTTAAAACAAAAGATTAAACAAAACAATATAGTCAACAGTTCCTAGCAGCATCCTCAGCTCAACATATGGTCATGCTAATGTCATGTGTTCCATAGTTTTGCCTTAAACATTTTTCCCACAATTTACCCCTTTGGCCTCTAAGACTTCTTCACCCTCCTGTTGATAAACATGTTGGTAGTTTCCAAGCTGGGGGCTATTCCAAACAGGGCTACTATGAACGTTTTGGTATATGTTTCAGAATAGGAATATTTTTGAATGCCTGTCCATTTGGTACAGACATTGAAGTTCATATTAGTACATTTTTATTCTTATCCTTTTAAGAACTAGGATCTATCTGATAGTTACTTCTGGGAACTTGTAGTTATATTTTGGCACACAGCACACATGGACTCAGTTACCCACCTTTCCATTCCTTCCCTACCATGATATTCACTTCCCCTGCCTCCCTCCCTCCCTACTTCCCCTTTCTTTTTCCCCAACCTCTCTTTCTTTCCTTTTTCAAAGGTGTATGGGATAAAAGACAGGTCCTCCTGCATACTAAACACACTTTCTACAGTGAAACAACGGCCCCAGCCCTCACATTTGTTTCTAAATTATATATATTCAACAACTCACATCTCTCCAGCCTGATTCAGACTTACTGTTTCTTTCCCTAAATCATGTGTAAAAATATTCCTGTATATAGAGGGAGTATTGAGACGAGTCCCATGTAGCCTAGGATATCCTCAAACTTATTATGTAGCTGAAGTTGGACTTGAACTTCTGATCCTATTGCTTCCAAAATTTGTTCCACTAAGCATGGCTTGCTTTTTAAATTTTTTCTTTTTTTTTAAATTGATATAGAGTATCAATATGTAGATCAGGACTAGCCTTGAACTGTTGTAGATCCTCCTAGTGTCTACAGAGACCAGAAGAGGACGTTGGATTCCCAGAACTGGAGTTATAGATGGTCGTGAACTTCCTTGTGGGTGCTGGGAGCAGAACTTGGGTCCTCTGCAAAACCAGCAATTGCTGTTAACTTCTGAGCCATCTCATAGTGCTCCCTACCCCCCCCCCCCCCCCGTTTTGAGACAGAGTCTCACTATATAGCTGTGGCTGGCGTGGAACTCACTATGTAGACCAGGCTTAAGACATCTGCCTGCCCCTGCCTCCTGAGTGCTGGTATTGAAGACAACTGATTTTTCTTCTTATTTTTTTAACAATGGATTATGAGGTTTTGTTGGTTTTGAGTCAGAGTCTCACTATGCAGTCCCTTTTGGCCTGGAATTTGTAACCTTCCTGCCTCTGTACAGTGGAAAACACCCCTCAGACTGCAAGCTGAAAAACAATGCTCTTTTGGAAAGTGAACCATCTGGATCACATATAAAATGCTTTTACTTAAATCAGCCATTGCCTTTAAAATTGAAATTTTAAGTGTATTATTTCAAGGTTTTGTTTTCCCATTTAATATGAAATCAAGGAAGTGATTATTCCTAACTCTCATATGATCTACTGAAAATAATGTTGTCATATGGAGTCAATGTATACCAAAATTTCTCTGCCTTGGATCTGGAGTTATGCTCAGTAGTAGAGCACTCATCCAATCAGCACCAGACTTGGGACTGACACCAAGCACTGCAAAAAAATTTACCACGTCACTTATGCCTTTGTTTGGACACAATGATGAATTATCTGTGCACCATACACATTTCCAAATATATATGTTTCTATCCCACAAGTTTCTTGATTTATTTTTTTCGTTCTCTTCCTTTTTTTTTTGACAAGACTTTTCTCTTAGTTCAAACCTCTCTCTGTTTTGTAACTCCATATGCAGATTAGACTTATAACTTAGGGTCATCTCCTCATTTTGCACTCTGAAGTGCTAGGATTATAGAAATGGGTCACTATGTCAAGCAAGAGCCTCGACTTTTTGGTGAGTGTATGTATGTATGTATGTATGTACATGTATGTGTTGAGAGGAATATGTGCATATGTGTGCATGTGGAAGTCAGAGGTTGATATTGGTGTCTTTCTCTACCACACTCCACCTTATGAACTGAGGCAGGGTCTCTCATTTGAACCTAGAGCTCTCCTATTTGGCTAGTCTAACTAGCTCGCTCCAGGGATTTCCAATCTCTCCCTAATGTGATCTGAAATTACAAATGGCTACTACCAACATTTATCTGGGTGCTGGGGATCTAAATGCTGGTCCTCATACTGGCGTAGCAAGTGTTTTACACACTAAGCCATGACCTCCAGTTCTCATGAATCTTTTCTTTTTAACCTTAGCATTATAGTCCTTCAAATTTCTAGAGTTGTAATCCTAGCACTTGGGAGGATTAAGAAAGAGGATAAGGAATTAAAGGCTGGTCTTGGCTACAGCACATTTTAGGGTAGCCTGAGCTACAGAAGACCTTATTTCAAAAAAAGATGTATTTATGTACATATATTTTCATAAGAAATATTATACAAAATACTTATTGTTAACATTGTTTTCTTTAACTAATTATTAATCCCAGCACTCAGGAGGCAGAGACAGAAGCATCTCTGTGAGTTCTAGGCCAGCCCGCTTTACAGAATGA